TTTCTCCATCTCAGTTTTGACCCAAAGAGAACACATCTCTGTCTCATCACCCACTTGGTTTCGTACCCCAGTTCTCTGCACTGCCTTAATCCTAACCAGCTCTGGTCACAAGCATTCAATGAGCTCTTGGCCCTCTTTGGATTTTACATATGTTGAAATTCACTGTCTAGTAAAGAAAAGTAGGTAGTGGAATCCGTGATAGATATTCTGTGACATGTGTTGCCCGTATAAAGAGCAAAGAAGAGCTTATGAGTTGAAGTATTCTCCCTACACAAATATATATTTAGGTATAGATCATCTATAAACATTCTGGCTTACTGGAAATCCCCTTGCAGAGGGGTCGCGGGGAGGAGATGAGCCAGTCAGGGTGCGATGTAACAATGATGAGAAATACAACTTTCCTCTAGTTCCTAAATGTTTTCTCCCTGCTCCCACTACCATGACTCGAATTCGATCTTGCAAGGCTGGCTAGACCAGAGGAGGTACACTGGTACAGATAGGCACTGAAAATCCAGGGAATCCAGGGCGGATGAGCCCTACAGGACCAGTGGTGTGAGTGGCAAAGCAGGGAGGGTAAAGGGAGAATGGGTAGGAAAGAGGGAACCGATTACATGGAACTGTGTGTGACCTCCTCCCTGGGGGACAGACAACCGAAAAGTGGGTGAAGGGAGACGTCGGACAGGGCAAGATATGACAAAATACCCATTTATAAACTATCAAGGGCTCATGAGGGAGGAGGGAGCGGGGAGGGAGGGGAAAAATGAGGACCTAATGTCGGGGGTTTAAGTGGAGAGAAAATGTTTTGAGAAACGATGTACAAATGCGCTTTACACAATTGATGTGTGTATGGATTGGGATAACAGTTGTATGAGCCCCTAAGAAAATGTTTAAAAAAAAAAATATCCTGGCTTCTGTCCCTGAAGCCGTGATCCCGTTTGGACACAGGATTTTGGTAGGTTAGTGAGACTGGGTTGTAAACTCCATCACGTCTGAATGACTCAAACAGCTGAACAGAGACAGAGGCAAACACGAGGGGCGAGAGCTGCCAGGCAAGCTCGTCTCCAAGCACAGGGATGCCCACCGGTCACTAGCAGCCAGGAGAGAGGCCTACAGAAGGGATCGACATGGCGAAGCCTCCAGATGCCGACGGAACACGTTTCCGTTCTTTAATGGCTGCTCTGTTGCGGAAGGGCTCATTCACTAAGAAATGAGGCAGCATCGGGCATGTGGGGATGAGGTTTTCGAGAGGCGTTACATTAGCACTGACGGCTAGCCCCTGAGCAGAGCCAAAGACTGGAGATGAGGTGCTTTCCCTTGTCGCTTGTCCCTCTGGCTGCCTCTTCGCGACAGCCAGATGGGTCCGGGGAAGTTCTTCAGTGCTCCTTACTGGTTCTCATTTTCAGTCCTTCAGAGTTTTCTTGACCTGGAGCCCCCTTCCTTCCTTTTGATTAGAGCCCAGCCCTGATAACTGGGAAGCTTGCCTTGATTCCAAAAGCCGAACGTAGGCCTTCCAAACATCATGGATTCCCCTTACAGATAAACACCATGCACATACATGCTGCCTCCCCTACCGAACTTGGAGCAGTAAGCATGTCACCTTCAATGGTGCTTCCCCACACTAAGCACAGTGCTTGCTACCTAAATTGAGGCCCGTCGATATTTGTTGAAGACATGATTGATGAAGCAAATGAAGTACATGAATGGAGGTTTAGAACATGATGACCTGGATGAAGGAACTAGTTACCTGGGATCTGGAGTTGAATGTTGGTTGCAATCTATTTGGGTTTCATCTGAATAGTATGGACAATAGCCAGACTTTTTTTGGGCTTTTGAACCCATCCCCGCCCACCCCCCACCACCCTCACCCCCCAAGGATTTCTACTCTGCTTTCTCCAAGGCATTGTCTCTCCTCGGCTGTTCTGCTGTGGCCGCTCTGAAAATAGAGGGCTTAAGTGTGCCGGCTGCATGGCGGGCACGGATCCTGGAGGCCACGATATAGAATGAAGGGTCCCAGACTGGGCAGGCTGAAGTGAGCGCTCTGAAGGGGTGTGAGGGATTCCCTTGGCAGGCTCTTTCTGGATGAGAAGAGAGTCGTGGGAAGGAGAAAATGTCCAAGATTAGGAATAATAGACAGTGCCTGGGGAAAAGGTACCTCGAAGTGTGACCGATGTGGCGATGGATGACACGAATCCCTCCTGTAAAGGTGCAGAGTTTGCAGTTCATAGGGGGATTGTGGTAAAGTAGGCGCCCCAGGGTGTACAAATGTTTAATACACTGACGATGAATCAAAAAGGTGGCAGGGGTGATTCCAGCCAGGGATTCCTTGACAGAAAGGCCTGTTGATCCACTTCAGCCATATCAGTAGTACCACTAAACGTCCCATAGGCCACAGCTCTACTGTGGCCCACGTGGTTGCCGTGGGTAGAGCAGTCTTGGCAGATCCGAATGGCTGGCTGTCGTCAGCTACCTGTGGGACAAGCACTGTGGGCTTGGGCTTCCTTCGCTGTGATGACTGGGAGTAGAGCCAAACCTTCTCGGAGGCCCCTTCCCTGATTCTCTGATTGTGGGGTTCCCAGGCTCCTGCTCCCCTTTCTTAGGACATACATGGAAAATGGCAACGAAGCAGGGTTCTCAGGGAAGTGTGAGAGTGGAGGCCAAGTGAAATAAGGTTGCACCTGGGAGTTTGGGTTCAAGTGTTTCTTCCCCACCCGCCACTTTCAGCTTTCTAGAGGGCTAGAGTGGTGTAAGCTGAGGAGCTCCTGGGATTCCTAGTCTGATTTCTTCCAACCTTATTCCCCCCATCCGCCTGGCTTTGACCTCTCCGGTGGGAGCCCCCGGGCCAGCTAACTGTGTAGATTTGAGAATCAGACAGACATACAGTTGAATCCTACGCCTGTCATTTCTGACCATGGGACCCTGGGCAGATTGTGTAACCGTTCTCTGAATCTGTTGTCTGTCAAAAGGGTTTGTCCTCTAAAGTTCTCAGAAAGGTTGAATGCCTCGCTATAAACAAACAAACAAACAAACAAACAAACAAACAAAAGAATACAAAACCTGTGCTATCATTCTTCCCAAACAAAAATACCGTTGCTGCCTAGGTTTCTACCTTTCAGATTTCAACATGGAATGCGATGGGCTTGGCCCCCACTGTCCCCACGCTCTGTAGCTCTTTTGTGTGGAAAAACCTAGGGACACATGTGCTTTTACTTCAGCAGATATTTAATTATTTCAGTAACTAGTTTTGCTCACACCACAAACCTATTGAGCTAGAGTGGCATAAGAGCCAGGAGCCAGAGTGCAGACAGACTCTGTAGCTGGTATAGACAACATTTTAAGAATGCCGGCGTTGAAAGCATTCAAGAGTCACAGTAACTAACTCACTGGGGGTAGGTCTATGTTCTCATTACATACTTAAGGGAAGAGGGGGACAGAGAGGGGACAGGGCAGCCTGGGATTCCTTGAAAAGCTCTTGTGCATTTTAAGTTGTAACAGCATTGCAGCCAGTATCTGCCATCGCTAGCAGCTCCTAAAGGTGATTCAGTGAAGTTCAGGCAGACACCATTTTATAAACTGTTCATTACTTGTATCTTGAGTCTGCAGTCAATAGGAAATAGTTGTATAAATGAGAAGGCGTTGGTGAGGATGTTCAAGTTCCTTCGAAATGTATTTTGAATGCTGTTTACAAATTGTTTCTAATGTGCCTTTAGGCTAAGTGGCTGGAGAGGCGAGGTTTAGAATCAACAGGAAGACTTTACAAAGACAGGTCATGCATGGCTTTTGGTAGCCCCCTGCCTAGCGCCCTTCCCGCTGAGGGCCTCCAACAGTCAGGATGCGGCTCCATGATCCGTGATGGGCACACACAGGAGCAAACAGTGAGTGCCTTGAGGGAAGGGACATGCTGTTATTTATATTCATTGTTGTTTGTCAAGAACCTCAAGGTGGCAATTGACTGGCCCTTGTCCAAACCAAACTCACTACTATCAAGTTGATGCTAATTCATAGTGCCTGGGGGTTTCCTTCATGCGAGAAGAAAGCCTCATCTTTCTCCTGAGGAGTGGCTGGTGATTTAGAACGGCCGACCTTGTGGTTAGCAGCCCAATGCATCACCACTATGCCACCAGGGCTCCCAACTGGCCCTTAGCATATCCTTAATTCATAGTGCCAGGGGCCCGAAAGTATTGTGTCTCCGTTAAGCAGGAAATAGAAACACCCTGGGTAGAATGACATCACGAGAAAGCCTATCTGAAGCCTGTTCTGAACTACACGTTCAACAGTGATACTACAGTGGAAATTTTCATTCCTTTATCCTTTAAAACTCTCATCTTGAAGTGCTCTGGAAGTTGAGACTCTTAGCCAGCCTCGTGAGAGTAAGTGAATGGATTCAAAGGTCCTTCTTAGCTACATCTGACATACAGGGACAGCAAGGTTTGAAATGAAGCCCAGGTCCCAATGTGGGACAGTGTCTCTCTAGCAGAGGGAATTCCTCTTGTACATAGCCAATTAGACTTGGGGGAGGGAGAAGCGCTGGTCTTGCCATTCATGTTTCAGGATACCATCAAGGGGAATGGAGCGACAGAGAGGGAATGGGCCACACAAGTACAAGGTTAGCGTGACAGTTAATTGGAAGTCTGAAGAAAAAGAGACTGGCTATTCTGCAAGATGGTTTACTGGCTGAGGCTTCAAGGCCCCCTGGCAAGCTGAGAATTAGATGTGTTCCATTTTTTCTTCACTGGAATGAATCATGCCTCTGGCGGCAATTTTGTATGTGTGTCCAGAGTCGTGGTTTATCAGCTCCTTTCTGAATTATTGCTTTTCACTCCCTTCCCACTTGACAGCGGCCAGAATGAAGTCCGTTTGTCCCTGGGGAGGTAGAACATTCTGTTTTGGAGGGAGCAGTGGGTTACATCTGCCACACAGGGACATCCTGGCTCCAGAAATCTTCTCCCGACCACGTACCAGAAGACACCCCATTGTCTGTCTGCCTGGGTCGGCCCTGGCTAGTGGCGCAGCAGCTTGGCAGCTAGAGAGGGGCACAGGGAGTAATCGCGTCTTTCCTCCTTTAGCAGGACAGGATCTTGAGGAAGGCTTTGCGAAACTCAACATTGAAGGTGGTGTAGATCACGGGGTTGAGGGCACTGTTCACGTAGCCCAGCCACGTCGTGGCACTGTAAAGCTCCGGGGACACGTGGCAGGCTTGGCAGTGCGTATTGAGAACGTGGGTCAGGAAGAAGGGCAGCCAACAGACAATGAAGGTCCCTAGGTTGCAAATGGAGAGAAAAACTAAGTAAGGGATCTGCTTCCTCTTTTGATTACAGCAACTTCAAGTCGATTATTTTATGCCATATCCACTTAATTTTTGTAACCCTAGGAAGTCAATGTACCTATTCCCTCCCTGCCTTACCCCCATCCTTTTTTTTAAAAAAAGAGAAACACATGTTAATATCTTTGAGTCGTCTCAGGTGTAGGTGCAGGAGACACCGCTCCTGCGGTTGGGGAAATTACAGCGAGGTGATCTAGTGAAATCCCTTGTAGATCAGAAGCAGGGCTCGCCGATGGCACCGTGCGTGATGTAGCTCTGGTACGTGGGATTTCCTAGTTGTTTGTTTTTAAAAAACTGGATGGCACTACGGTATGTGGGACTTCCCAGTTTTTAAAAAAACATTTTCTTTGTTTTAATGAAGTTTATCTTCTTCTGGTATAAAAGTTGTGATTCTATGCATCATGGAAAGCTTGGCAAATGCAGAAGAGCAGAACGAGGGAAAATAGTCACCCACCATTCAAAGACAATCACTTTTGACATCTGGTGAAGTTCTGTTCAGACTCTCTTCCTCTGCATTTTAAATAATCTAGTTGTTATCATGCCATATGACTACAGTGTTCTGCATCCCAATTTTGTCATTTAATTTTTTAAAGTAAGTGTTTATTAAATATGCAATATGTGCCCGACAATTTCATTGAATTAGTATCTTACTTATTCTTTGATTTACCCATTATCATGCCATGCGATAGATAAGAAATCAAGGCTCAATTGGGGGGCTTCTTTTGGTTTCTACATTTTAGGCTAGGTCTTTTGAATTTCCACCGGAGTTAACATGCATACACAAACATTTTGATTCCATACCTGATAAGTGTGGAATTAAGTCATTGGCTTTCCAGTCCCAATGAACTGTGTTTACTCCAGCATCTTCCTCTAGCTCAGCTAATGCCACTCAACATGATTCCTCCCAACCTGCCCAAACTCACCCAGCACTATGGCCACCATCTGGGTGGCCTTCTTCTCCCTGAGTGGCACCGCCCGAGGCTGCAAGGGCCCCAGCTTCAGAGACGTCGACAGCCTGCCGTTGCTGAGCTTCCGGACCTCTAAGCTGAGCTTGGGGGCCATGGTTGGGCTGAGGGAGTTCCGACTCCTTTCTTCTCTTTTCAGCTCCGATTCCTCTTGGAAACCTGGCCGTGCCAATGCCGTGTCTTGGCAGATGCTGTAATAGCGCTTCAGCTCTGTGTGTGCTCGGCCCGGGGAGAGGGGCTGCAAGTGTGACAAGAGAGGGTCCTGACATTTCTGGGGATAGTTTTTATCCTCTGGATGTTCCTGAAAGGGAAAGAGAATGTAAACAAGGGACACCATCATTGCCCCAGAGCTCTAAACAATGGAAACCATCATTGCCCCAGAGCTGTGGCCGAGTCATGGAACCAGGGAAAGTTCTGGCAAATGAAATCCGCTTCTGGTGGGAAGGTCTTCACATAAAGTGTGTCTGCGGACGACCACTCCGCGAGACGGGCCACACAAGTCTGTAGGCGGACCTTTTCAAGTTCAAATGACCTGGGCCTACTAAGGACATAGGCTACTGCTAGGACACAAGCAGCGATAAGTGGAACACTGCACTCTTTACGAGACCCATGGTTCCATTTCTTCAACAAATCAACAGCAACAACAATAGTCATAACTTTTAGTTGCAAAGGGTAACTCTTAAATTTTTAAAAATTCAAATCAACTAGTTGTTAAATGATTCATAAAACAACTGGGGAGATTTGAACACTGGCTGGATATTTAGACGAGATTGGGCGTGTTCAGGGCGGTATGGTCGCAGACTGGCTGGATATTTAATGAGAGTATTGTTGCTGTTAAAGTTGCTTTTGATTCACGGTGGACCAGTGTAACAGAGCAGGACTGCCCCATAAGACTTCCTAGGCTGTCGCCTTCTGTGGAGCTGTTCTTTCTCCCAGAGAGCTGCAGGGTGGGTTCAAACCACCAACCTTTTGGTTAACAGCCAAGTAGTTCACCCATGCAGTACCAGGGGTACTTTGAATAGCATTAGGTTTTTATTTTGTTTCAGTGTGATGTAGTATTGTGGTTATTTTTATTTATTTATTTTTTTAAAGAACCCATATCTGTTATAATGATGGGTGAAATTATACGATGATTGGTATCATCCATAATCACACATGTTAATGTTGGTAGGAAGGGAGATGAAATGACATTGGCCAGGAGTTTATAACTGATGGGCTGACTGTTGGAACCGGAGGGCTTGTAATATTGGTCTATTTTTTATTGAACATTTTTATAATAAAAAGTTAATAAATGAAGAAACTCCAGGGTATTCATCTCAGCTTTCCTATTTAGTAGCTACATATATGGACAAATTAATGAAATATCTTTGGGCCTCATTTGTAAAATTTGTCAATAATGTACTATCTCTTTCAGAGGGTTATTGTGGAGGTTAAATATTCATTTTATCTGTGTGTAGAAGATAAGTCCCCGTGAAGCTTGAGAAGTTGGGGATGTTCAGATTGGGAGCTAGCCAGAGTGTTTTGAGGATTCTCATGTCACCTTCTTGAACATCTAACTGGCTCCACCACACCCTGGTTCCTCGCCTGCAAACTCTGCTCCACACGAATCAGCCGATGCTCTACCAGAACTCAGAGTTCAGGGGTTGACCGCCAATCAGGATGGAAAAAGTAGCATAAAAGCCTTTTTGCCTTTATTCTTGCTCCTTTCCTTCTATCTTTCTTGCATCTCTTTTCATTGGGTCCCCCTACAATACTGTTGAGGCTCTGCTTGTATTTGCAAAACTGGGGAAAGCGTTAACTGTGGCCATGACCTTCCAGGAAATAGTTTTCACCTTATCTTCTTCCTCCAGCATCTTTTGGTTAAGAAAAGAAATTTGGAGAGTGGACCTGGCATGAGTTGTCTCTGAAAGTAAATACTGAAAGTATGTACCTATTGCTGGCATCTCTCTCTAGTTATCTGTCGTCTATCTTTAGATCTATATCTAGATCATCTGTCTGTCTATCATCTATGGAGAGAGTGGTCATCATCTGCACTGCTTTCTATGTTCAAAGAAACAGACAGTGTCAAACTGGAGTAGGAGGCAAGACATTCTAACTCCCATGACTGTAAAGGCATTGGACACTTCTTCCCCCACAGTGGCAGCTAGGGCTCTGGCACACGAACCAAGCCTGAGAACTTGAATCTAGAGATTTTCACCCTTGAATATAGAGCCAGTCTAGAAGAGCAACATCCCAAACTCATCGAATCGTGAGGACCTTTAGGGCCCTGTGTTGTAGGTCTCCTAAGGAGATTCTTCGTTTGAGCTGAATAACCCCCTCTGAAGCCATTCTTCAGCCTTTCACGGAGTCTTTGAATCACTTGACAGCTTTCTGGTAAGATCCCTTTCTCTATACAAGTTAGCAAGCATTGCGACCCAGAACCCTCCCTAGTTTGGGAAGTTTTCTGCTACTCTCTCTTTAGACCTGGGGATCACTGTTTGCCATGTGCTTCAGGCACAGTGTACTCAAAAACATTTCTTGAATGCATGCATGCATGAAAGTGGTCTTCAAAATGATTTAATGTCTTAAAAACTAGATTTACAGATGCTTAGGGATTCTACGATATATATGTATGTGTAGCTATGGATAAAGGAGATTTTTATTCATTAGGTATATTCTGTTTTCTTTTAATGACCCTATTATAACCAAGACTTAATTGATTAAATGAATAAATAAATGAAACGAATGGTACGTTTCTTCAGTGTTTATGCTTGTAATTGAGCTGACATATAGATCTCTAAAAGGGACAGCATCCAACTTCTAACTGAAACTAGGGGACTGGAGGCAAGCTATCAGGAATGCCTATAAACCTCAGGTTTGAGAACTCTGATCTACAACAGGGTTTATCCATTTAACAGATGTGGAGACTCCATCCCACAAAAGGAGAGTGATCCTCCATCAATTAGATGCTAGTATATTGTTTTCTGCCCCCTCCGAAAACCCTTTGTCATCACCTCCGAGTCTGACATGAGGGGCCATGGACTTCTCTTGCATCTGGGTGGCAGAATACTCCACTGCCATCTGGCAAGTGAAAACCTAATTCTCCATACTCCTGGTCATACCAGCCTCTTGGGTCTCTGATCTCTCCCTTCGTAGCCATTATTTCTCCTGTTTTTGACTTTGGAACCTGTGCGTACCTTTTACCTGCTCTAGTCGTATAGATAGGACTCCCTTACACCAGGCCTATGTAAAAACGGCTAATAGAACTAGAGGAGCTGCAAAGATGAGGAAGGACCTCGACAAGATGGATTGACACAGTGGCTGTAACAAGGGGCTCAGACAAGGACAGTTGTGAGGGTGGCACGGGACTGGGCAGTGTTTCCTTCTGTTGTGCAGAGAGCCGCCGTGAGTCACAGCTAATTCGACGGCACCTACCACCACCACCACCAGTTTGGACAAGACCTGTGCCTTCATCATGTGGAACCTTATTTCTCATAGCAGTGGCGTATAGTGAAATGCAAAGAGTGTCCTATTATTGAATACCTTTGGCTCTATTCTGCACTCTGGTTGCTGGAGGAAGGCAGACCGGCTTTCAGTTGAGAGATCAAGGCTTAGGATGACCATCACATTGCTTTGCCTTTCCCTACATTTAGAGACTTGAAAGTCTCACTGTAGTCCCCTTGTCTGCTTGCCTCGGATTGTTCCTGTTTGTCTCATTGACACCAGAGTCCCTCTAATGCAGGTATTTCTAGATGCTATCTCCACCTCACGCCCCAAAGTGATTGGGCTCCAGCTATTAGTATCTAGCCTAATAGTTTCAAGCATTCTGAATATCATTTCTGAAGCTTCCTTCGGCGCAATCTCTGGTCTGGCATGTATCATAGTAGAGGTGTGCAATTGGACTCAAATTCCATTTTCTGGAGAAGCAGAATCAACATTACCCAGCATATTGACAAAAGGACTCTTACTGTTTTCCTACCAAAGACATAGCCTACTTACCATTTTCCCTGTGGCATCTGATGGAAATCTGGCCCTTATTGAAAACTGCCGAATAGGGTGCAGCCGGAGACAAGTGGACTAGGATGGGTTGAAAGAAGAGCCAGTCAGTTGTGGATTAGACTCAACATAGTTGTTATGTAGATATCAATTATTTGAATGCAGCATGTTCATATCCTCAGCTGTGAGTCCCGAGCTCCTGTTTTATGGGAGCTAATAGTCTTGTTCTATTCAAGTCTTGGGAATGTCAACTTTGGGCCCAAACAAACAAACAAACAAACAAACCAGCCAAAACAACAACAACAACAAAACCCAAACCCCATAAACAGCCCAAACTCACTGCCATTCAGTCAATTTTGACTTATGGCAACCTTACAGGGTAGGGTAGAACTGTCCCTGTGGGTTTCTGAGACTGTAACTCTTTACAGGAGTAGAAAGCCTCATTGTCTCCTGCGAAGCAGCCAGTGGTTTCGAATTGCTGACCTCATGGTTAGCAGCCCAATGAGCAGAGGCTGTATAATATTCCCACCACTCCTAGCCGATTGTAAGTGATTGATATGCTTCCCTTTAGGCTTCAAGCACCTTGTGAGTAAGCTACTCTGTGCAGGAAGTTAAGCAGACTTTGCAACTCAAGCGATTGGAGGATAACTGTTGAGGCCATGATATTGCTTTCTGAATCAAGAAATACTCAATAGAAAAATATGATTAGGATTCCATCCCATCAGCTAGTCAGACCCTTCACATGGGGGCAGATTAGTAGGAGAGGTTTCCACTGACTCCTGTGATTCTTGGGATGAGCAGCTTGGACTGAATGTTAACCTGGGACCCCACCAGCAGTCCATGGTGCAAGGGCCACACGGAAACCTCAAGTCCTTGGGAAATCGAAGCTGCTGGTCATTTCTGGAGAATGAAGCATCTTAGACAGGAAGGAAAGCAAGCCAGGATACAAGGCCATCATCTTTCCAAGTAAGGTGGGCTCCAGGGAGGATGTCACTCTTGAGATTGGATTAGCTGCCTCTGGAGGATAGCCAATCACAGCAACTTACAGGGGAGGGCTCACCCATCTGCATGTGCCACATGCAACATACAGACAAAAGCATGCGCTGCCAGGGGCTGCGGGGCTGGGTGCTGTGCTCCCTCGGAACCCGCTCCGGTGCTTACTTGTTGGGGGAAGCCGGGCCTGACACTGAAGCATTGACTGTTCTGTCGCGTGAGGATCCGTTTTCGTCTCCTTTGTCTTAACACCACGTAGATCCTCGCGTAGACGAGCACGGTCACTACAAAGGGCAGGTAGAAGGACACGACTGAAGAGTAGATGACAAAATCAGGATTGGAGATGGAGCAGACGCTGGGGTCCCCTGTGCGGGAGAGAAGGAGAGACAGGACAGGTGTTTGCAGACCCTGGGGAAATACTAGCCCTCCGTGGGGAGCGCAAAGGATGGACGCCTCTAGTGTGCAATGTCTCCACCTTCTTATCCACGCGGGGCTCTGAGCAGCAGGGGTTGTCCCTGCCACTGACACGCACCCTCATCGTTTCCTAGTTCAAATGCTGCCACATCTTTGGAAGTGACCTTGAGTGTTTCAGTCAGACGCAGCTCTTTCTTCCTTCGTGCCCTTTATTTTTGCCCCTTTGGGGTAGTTACTGGACATGACCTGTGTGGTGGGGATGAAGGGAAAGCTGACTTCGACTCCTGTGCTGTCAGCTCCGTGAGGATGGGAGGTTTAATTACTTTTTGAGTCATTGTACTAAGGGCAGTCCAGTGAACCCTCGCCACTTCGCGCTTCGACTTCCGCGGCTTCACTCTATCGCGGTTTTTGCGTAACAGCACCCACTGCCTACACCCGCTCCTTCAGAGGAAAAAGACGGCGACCCACCTGTAGAGTACATCCCTTAAGT